AAGGTCACCCGCCATGAGATATTAATACCACTATAATAATAATTATTGATAAAACACATAATATATTAAGTTAAAAATAAAGCATTGTATGCACCACAGGCATTATTAAAATATTGTAACGAGTACCGCTTTGGATCTCGGAATGATGACTCATCGCCGATGACGGAGCTCGCTGGAATGTTCGGGAAGGCGCTTGCGTGACTAGTGTCACGTAGGCACTGAATATATAAGGAAAAGCGCAGAATGGAGCAGTCAGTTAAGTTTTGGTACTCGCGACGAAATAAAATAAATGTACGTGCAAATAAATAGACGCTTGTGGAGTAGTGATATATAAATAATTAGTTGGTAAGTGTTTAGTTAGTTTTCTTAGTGTTTTTTAAGTGTAATTAAGTTATAAAATAAATCGTTTAGTTCGTTAATAAACCAGTGCGTGTTTTAATTCACACTGCGAACAGTAAAAACGGTAAGTGTAAAACTTTGCGAAAATGGTTTCGTTAATGGACTTAAGAGTGGTGGACCTTAAGCAGGAGCTTGAAGGAAGGGAATGTGAAATAACTGGAAAAAAGATTGTGTTGTAGCAGCGGCTTCGCGAAGCGTTGGAACAGGTGGGTAAAAATCCAGAAACGTATTTATTTGAATGTCCATGTGACATGCATTTAGTGTTGCAAAAATTTTGCGATTTACAACAGAAAATGCTGGAAAATTCTAGCGATTTACAAAAAAAAATGCTAGACAATTCTAAAGATCTGAAAGTCGATTTCTAACAGAAAATTCTGGAAAATTCTAGCAGAAGGTTCTAGAAAATTCTAAAGATCTGAAAGTGGATTTAAAACAAAAGATTCTGGAAAATGTCAACGGTTTAAAGGATGATTTGCAACAAAAAATACTGGAAAATTCTAGCGATTTACAACAGAAAATGTTGGAAAATATAACGAGTTACAACAGAAAATGCTGGAAAATTCTAACGAATTGCATCAGAAAATTCTGTAAAATTCTAAAAATTTAAAAGAATGTTAGGAACAGAAGATTCTAGATAATGTCAATGAATTAGAAGAGAAAGTAGGACAGAAAGTTGACGATGTAAGGATGGAATTGAATAACGTAATGAGGGAATCAGATACAAGAGAAGAAAAATTGAACGAGAAATTGGAAGTCAAAATTAGAGAAATAAATAGTAAACTAAATGCTGTAAATCCACTCATGATTCTGGCGAAACCAGGAACAGTGCCGGAGGGGAGCCGAGTTCGGATGAAACCACCTTAGTTCGATGGAAAAACTTCTTGGACAAATTACATCCGTCAGTTTGAGGCAGCAGCAAAATCAAATGGCTGGCTACCAGAAGAGAAGACTACAGCATTGACTCTTGCTTTACGCGGAGATGCAATGAATATCTTGCAGACACTTTCTCCCATCGAACAAGAATATTACGAAGCTTTGGTGAAAAATCTGGAACTGCGATATGGCCAGACACATCTGGCACATTTGCAGGAATTCTAGGCTGATATTGCACGCTTGGTCCGGCTAGCATATCCAGCTACTCCAACGACCGTTATGGAACGATTAACGGTTCAAGCATTTTTGGATGGACTTCGAGACAATGAAACAAGACAGGCTCGTCCGAGCCAACTGGTTGATGCATTGCCTCGAGCTTTGGAATTCGAGGCGGCAAAGCAGAGCTGCAGGAGCCAGCCTAGAATAAGGAAATATATATATATATATATATATATATATATTGTAAAGATTTCTCTTTACCCCAGGTTCGTTAAAACAAGTTTTATGAAAAATTGATAAATTAAATATTTTGTGGCTTTGGCTCGTGATCGTCTTTAGGACCTCTACGCTGTTTACTTACTTGTTTTATTAAATGCATTGCTTTGATGATACGTGGGAGTACTAGGTTTATAAGAAATAAAATACTGTGGTTTAGTTTACCCCAATTTAATTTACGTTAACTTTTTACAAACAAGCAAGGGGTGGCTCTTAGAAAAAACCCTGGTCGGCTATGAAGTAGCAAAGGAATACGCGGTCAGACATTGTACTAAAAATTACGCAAATTAATGTATTGGCGATATGGCTCGATACTGCATTTAAACAAAGATTTAAAACTGAAGAATATTGGGGTTAGTTAGCCGGGCTAGGCCCAGAATGTAACGGGGTCCACAAAGGGAGGCAACCCGCCTATTTTAGTTGAGGGGTCGGGGAAAAGCGATGCAACCCTAGAGAACGTAGGGCAAGCTGTTCCCCTCACGGGAAAAAAATATTAGTTTATACAACAAAGGCCCACGCACACAAACAAAGAGTACTCAAAGTTGGACAATAACGGTCAGCACTCCTGGTTAAGCACCGAGTAATTTAGCAATACATCAATAAATTTGGACTGATCATAAAACAATGCTTAACCACGTTATAGAAAAGGTACAAAATGATGGGTTAAGCACAAACAAAATACAAGGTTACATTTGAGCGGTACAAGCGAGCATAGCAAATTATTAAAATTATAGTGATAATAATAAAAGCAAAAATAGGGGTGGTAATAGCTAAAAGAAAAGGGTTAAAAATAACGTAAAATACAGCTAAACGTAATAAGTAAAGGATAAATATACTCATAATAGCAATAATCATATAATTATAATATTAACAATTTAAAAATGCACAATATTTAGTTAATTTTACTACACATTTAAATAGATTAAATATTTAGAACTAACCTTGTAGAATACACTAACAACACTTTTAACAATGATTTTAGAACAATAATTTGCTTTTACAATTTTACCAAAGAAAACGAACTGTACTGAACCAAGTTCAAAATGCTTCTGCCTCATTTTTCCTTTTCAAAAACCCTCTACGTTTACATCTGGGTGGAAATTCCCCGGCTAATGTGTATGCCACATGTTGCTTGACAAATTTTCTACCTAAATTTAAAATTTTATATGCCTAAAAATAAAATTTTACAACTTAATCCTATTTTAAAATTAGAAAAATAAAATATTTAAAAAAAATGTATTCTAATAAATTTATAAAGGGGTATTTTTTACGGAACCATTACAATATATATATATATATATATAAATATACCGAGACCGGCTCGGTGGCGAGATGGAAGGCATTTCAGTCTTTGCTATAATAACCGTTTTTTGTTTCTTTGGTACCTATACATACTCTAATATTTTAGAGTTTTACTTTGGGGGTAAATAAACCGTGCTTTGGAAGCAAGTACTCCATTTTACTTTGATAGCAAGTAAAAAGATTTACTTTGGGGGCCCCTACTCCATTTTGCCTTGGGGTAAATAAGCAATTTTTAGGATAAGTTTGTGTCTTTAGAAATATTATATATATAATAGATGTTAAAGTAATGCCCTTTAAAAAAATACTTTAATGCTTCCCAATATATCTTTGCAAGATAAAATAAAAATTAACGAACCTCTAATAGTATGGGTTACGATAAGTAAAGTTTATTTTTTTTCTGGACTGCGGCAACGTTGCAGATTTAGGGTTTTGGTTGGTAAATACAGTTGTCAAGTTGGTCGCATTGATTAAAACAAACTAAGCTAGTTATAAATCTAATTGTAGTTATTTATAAATTATTGTAGGTTACATTGTGCAGTTGTCAAGTTGAGTTGTCGAAATTAGTAGTTAAATATAGGTTGCTTTACGGCCCAGAAAAGAAAGTATTCCTAGCGGATAATAATAATCTTCGCTTTGAAAAGAATTTATATAGAAGAAATTAAAATTTTTTGTGAACGTAAATATTGTCCAATGGTGAATAATGTGAAAATAATGTGTGATCTAATATTTATAATACCAAATTCAATACTTTTTTACTCCAAAAATGTACATAAGGCAATGTACTTTTTCTTCCATTATGGCATTTGGCATAATTTCATCAAAATGAAGTTTTGCCCTCAAAAGGGCTTTTACATTCGAATTCGTTGCTATTATTTTTGGCATAATTATCTTTTTATTTATAATTGACAAGTAAGTTATCGTAAGTAATATCATAAGGGCATCTAATTTTTCCGAAAAAAATCGAAAAATACGTTGCTAAGTAATATTTTAACAAGAAGCATGAGTGCTGGTGGCAGCAAAAATCCGAGTCGAAGAGGAGGATTTTTGCACCTGCACGAATGCATTTTGTTAAAAAATATTACTTAACATTGTGTTTTTTCGATTTTTTTCACAGGAAAAATTAGATGCCTGAATGGTATTTGACAAGACTATTTCATGAGTAACAGTTAACAATTAAAATATAAATTGCAATTTTCTGTAACAACAGCTGTCAAGTTTTGCCGCGGGTAAACTCGAAAAAACTGCTGACAGGTGCTGTCACACAGTTTTTTCACCTAGAAACCATTTGTAATTTAAAATTGCGCGTTTGTAATTGGTGGAAATTAAAACGAGGGAAAAAGTCAATAATAAATATTATTGTCAATTTGACAGTGTCAAAGTATTTAATTAAATTCTTTAGCTGAAGTACCATTTTTAAATACTAAAAATACTGGCATAAGCCACCAACCTAACAAAAAAACACCAGTCCAGATAAAAAAAATGAACTGTACTGCTAGTCAAATAGAGGGTTGCCTTTTTGTTGTGATCGTGGAATTTCGATCGATTGACATGTGTCTACATGTAAAAACTTTTATATGTAAAACACTTAAATCAATATTTTTTATTATTCATTACAAATACAATAAGATTATTTTATTTATTTAATTAGGTTAATTGATTTTTACGCTTTACTTTATTAATATTAATTTTTTTAGGAAGTTTATAAACTTATTATATAAAAACTTTTTCCTGGAGATTTGCGTGCAGGGTGAAATTTTTTGTTATTTTTTTATTATGTAAATCACTGCATTAATAGGAAAAATGCTAGTCTATTAGCGATAAATAAAAGTACTTTTAAATTTTTACTTGTTTATATTAAAAAAATGTTAATTTCTAAAAACTATTTAACAGATAACCAAAATTCATTGGTTGTGACTAAAATGTTTTTTTTAAGAATGGGCTGTAGTGCAGCAAAAAATCTAACAGTTGAACCTTTAAATGGAAACAAAGTGCATGATATATCAACGGGTATAGTTGAGTCCTTAAGAAAAACTTCTATACCTAAAAGTATATCGGATATACCACCATTGGAAGGAGAGGACCCCCAGACTGAAATGTTGGAGACTGGAACTGTTAACAATTTTCAAAAAGGAGGTAACATTAATTATTTACATTTTCATTTAATTTTGTTTAAAAAAACCCAAGGATACCCTCATTTAAAGCCCCACCATCTATCTTTATATTTTTGAAAATATTTTAAAACCGATATGTTAACACAAGTTTTGGTAGAAAGTTAAATGGGCATTCTTTTCCCTCATGATACATGATATATAGGCCAGATTGACCTTAAAAGTCCAAAAAAGTGCAAAAATTTAAAAAATAACAAACCGCTCTATTTAGTTGAAGAGTTAATTTGTATTGTTTCTGCCTTATCATTTAAATGTTCTTAAAATTAATACCAATTTTCAGAAACTAAGGATATTTAAAGTGAGAATCAAAAAAGGTCCAATTGTCAAGTTTGTCAAATTATATAGTATTTTCTATTTTACCATATTATTTCCCTTTTTAAGTGACCCCTGGACTAAATAAAAAAAAAGATATATTTTATAAAAGTAGAGATAATTTTAATAATTGACACGTGTGACAAGATAATTTTTTTATTATTAAAATTATCTCTACTTTTATAAAATATTTCTTGCGTTTTTTTTATTTAATCTATAGCCTAATACAAGAAGCATATTTTGGACAATTTTGATGATTTATCTACACTTTTGTTTAAAAAAACAGTTTTGTAATTCGTGCGTTTGGCGCGCTTGAAATGGCAGAGGTACATTATAGGTATAAAACGTCTACCACTGTTTCTAAAATATGAAGCCATAAGAATATTTTAGTTTTAAAATTTCAAATAAAAATGTTTTAAACTCAACTTAAGGCATATTCATAAATTACAAAATATAGTTATATTATATATTTTTAATGTTAGATTTGATTTAACAATATTATACATATTTAATTTTAAATAAATAAACAATAAAATCCATATTAAAGTATAATCAATACCATTTCCCCTTTTAAAATTTATTAGTACAAGGTTTCAAAGAATTTTCCAACAATAGACTTCATTTCCAACAATGAAGCAAATTCAAGTAAATTATGAATTATTAAGTTAAAACCAATTTACCCCATAATGATTTTAATGGTTCTATTCTTATTAAAAGGTGATTAATCTTAATTTATCCATTTTTAATGAAAGGAAGCTAATAAATCTTTTTATTAAAAACTGAACTTTTTAAAAGTTTTTCAATAAAAAACTTTATTTTTCAAGCGGTCTATAAATAAAACGCTGTCAACACTCGACCCTGAAGTGATTCGTTTATTATGGGCTAGTAATTAGTTTTAGCGTCAGAGCTGTTCCGAGTACAATGAAAAAGTACTCGAGTACTCTTACATAAATGTACAAGTACAGTACCGTTGTACTCGAGTACCCATACGAGTACAAAGTACCGAATTCACTTTATTTATGAAATGTTGGGAGAAATGCTAGAGAAATGAGGCGATTAAGAAATGAATTTAGAATCACTAGTGCAAAACTAAATACTAGCCGGAATATTGCCTTCATCAAATATTGATATTTCGCTTTTTGAGGAATATTGTCACCTTATTTCTACCAAAATATAAACAAAATTACATTTCATACGTAAGTAAAAACCTTTCGTTTAATGCTCTTTCCTGTATCTTTTTATTTATTGATTGAGGCTGTCTTAAGGCTGTCGTGTGAGGCAGGCTGCCTCAGGCAGCATGTCCGTAATGTGACAAGTCTGAGCAATGTTGCCAACTCGAGTACTCGGGTATATTTTTGAAATCTTAAATGTATCAAGTACCTACAAGTATAAGTACATTCAAATTAAAGTACTCTGGACTGAGTAACGAGTACAATAAAAGTACTTGGAGTACAGTTTTTGAGTACGTGTACTTGAGTACCGCACAGCTCTGTCAGTGATTCGCCGATTTCATTAATAACTCTGATTTGAATCAATTATAAAATTCGACTTTTGTCAGACAGCTTTAACCTGAATTTCTACTTTAAAAAATTGCGCGTTTTATGTATCGTTTAACAAATGATATGGGAATTAAATTCTGCAAAATATTACTTGAAGATAAAAAGTTGCATGGCATTCGACCCAGAAGATATTTTTGTGCTTCACTCAAACTTTGATTACAGCACAACAGGACTCACTTCTTGGCCTAATGACACAAATAACTATTTTTAATTTTGTATTGTACATTTTTTTTTGTGTAAAATAACTTTTACAAAAATAACAAACAAAAATTAAAATAAAAAATAAAATTTTAGCACCATCATTTAAAAGGTTTAGAAGTACATTCATTCTTTAGATTTTTTGAATTGTAAACAATTAATTTTTATTTCCTCGTCATATTATTACTTAGGTTTTCTTTTTCTAATTCTATTTTTCGCTATTGTTTGTTTTATTTTAAAAAATACGAATTTGAGGTCGATATATTTATGCATTTTATTGTGGTGATCAAGATACAAAGAAAAAAATATTCTCATAATTAAAAAGTTGACGATTGAAGTGCCACCCTAAATTTAATTTAAAAGCCTAAGGCTGATATACACTTGTAAAGCGTCATTTTCACTATCTATTACAATAGGTAGTGATAATAATAACGCTTTAAAAGTGTATAGCTTCAATTCATTATAGTTATTGATAATGCTGAGAAGTGCTTTCGTGCTGAGATCCAAGTTTAAATGCAAACGCGTAGTGAAGGCCTACAATTGAGCTAAGTAGAAAGCGAGGTTAGATTAGATCTGACAGTATTCCAATTTTTTGATCGGTCCAAAGGGATTTTTTAACAGACTAAGAGGTAAAAAACAGGATATATCGCCTGGGAGGTTTTTTAAGTATACAAGTGTGCATTAACACGGGCTTGAAGAAAGCATTTCTCACAAGTGAAACACAATGTTTTTTCTACGACCCTTTTATTTTTTATTATATTCAAATACAAAACAAAATAACCTAAAAACGTGTTTGATAGCTGTTAATAGTATATTACACTACAAGGGCAGAAAGTGTGAGATTCCTGCACTGCGCGCCATGATGCCCTCGGCTTCGCCTCGGGCATCATGGCGCGCAGTGCAGGGCTCTCACACTTGGCCACTACCTCTCGACTTGTAATTAGCACCAAATACAAATGCAAATCAAACTTATTTTAACATTAATACAGTAAATCATATAAAAAAATAAACATTGTACCTACATAGAGCCGCAACGTGGTGATGTGGTTGGTTGTAAAAAGGCGTGTGAATATGTGGTCCCGTATGTTTTAAGATAGAGATTTTGCTGGCCTTTTCTCGATAGGCTAATATGAAGTCTGCTTGATCCAGATGAAAGCTAACCAAAGCACAAAGATCAAGGAACTAAAGAGTAGTAGACGCAGGGAACAGAGTAAAAATAAGTTAAAAAACCACAAACGCTGACGGCGGTAATAGCTGCTATTTCTTTTAATTGGATTATAGTGACCGGCTTGTCATTGTAAAAGCAACTTTTTATGTGACCCCAAAGAAAAAAATATCGGAATGAGTCTGTTAGAATGCCATGGAATATACACCATGCGAAGTTTTAACAAATTTGAGGTTCAGTTTTAAAGAGTTTTATCAATGTGATAAACATCTTGATAATGTTATTTGTATAAAAAGGTTTTTTTAAATGTTAGCTGTTTTTTTGTTATAATTATTTAAAATCGCTTAACATTATGAACCACCCGATGAAAAAGGTTATAATAATATTTTTTTTAGTAAACGGTATGTCTTTTGAAATAGCATTTGATAAAGAGGAGAAAGATGAAAGCATAATTAAAAAACATCCCCCAAAAAGATTTCAAAAATTGGAAGGACAAATTAGCCCTAACTCGACGTTAAATAAATTACAGGAAAAACTCGAAGAGGCAGAAATAAGGCGTCAACAGGTAAATGTGTGTATATATAATATGATTTTGTTAGTATAGCTACAAAAAGGAACATGTTTTCCTTTGTGGTGTGTATTAAACAGGGGAGTAAATTCAAGGTAATTTAAATTAGTTCAGTTTTGGATAAATAAGTTAACACGACATGTTCAAAAATAGCATGGGAACAGTACATTAAACACTAAAAAATTTTAATATGACTTTTGCATAAATCTATATTACTTTTAGATTTTGGCACAAAGAGTTCAGTCAGCAAAATATAGAAATACGTTAAAAAAACAAGCCAGTGTTTCTTCCATGAATAGTGAAGATGAAGATCTTTTGAAAGCTCCTAGTGAAGTTCCACCACCATTAAATCCATACGATGTTTCCTATATATAATTTTAAGAAAATACTTTTTTTTAATACCGCCTAAAATGCACCATGGGTTTATTATGAGGCAGAGTTAAATTTTTAATAAAGGTTTTGAAAATTGAATTTATTTTTTTGTTATAATAATATAAAATGTGTAATTATTTTATTAGCAGGTGTCGTTAAGATTGTTTAACTTATTAATAAAAAAAGATTAACAATTAATTGCCAGACATTAATAACGCCATTTTAACTAAATAATATTTTTAAAATTTAATAGCAGTACTTGTAAATTGAGTCCTTAGGCCCGTGGCCCTTAGTTTGTTAAGAATAGTTTTTTTTCTATTAAAAGTAAAAAAAAGTGAAATGTATTAATTTTTTAGTGGACTCATTGAATCCGCGGCCCTTAAGACCCTAAATATAATCAGAGACATGAATAAGTAATGTTTTAGCGAACTTATATTTCAACTTGTTGGTAATTTATTTTTCCAAATCATGGGGCCCACTTTGGATTAAAAATTATTTGACGTAATGATTGTAACGCATGGAACGTTTGTAGCGGGGAACGATTATTTTGATAATAAATTTGAATCTGGATTATTTGAGCACTTGTTTATCTCTGCTACATGCTATGTAGAATATCTTTTGAAATAACAACGCCATCGTTAATCAAAGATATATCACTCTAAATAAAAAAACCTTTACAAGGTGCATGAATATTTTCCTTCTCCAAAACATCTCTCAAACTCTCAATCTTAGATGTGATTAGTTAAATATTTAAATTTAATATATTAAAAATATTAGATGATGTATTATTTAAATTTTACTATTTAACTGTATTTGTTAAAAAACTTTTGGGCCAATCCTTGCTTCAGTAAAGTGATTTCAAAATTGATATGTCTGTATTTATCTTGAATAAAATACTTTTTGCTCCCCCTTATATTGGGCAAGGTTCAATTTTAATTTTTTTTAAATGTACTAATTGTAATTTTAGATAGTATTTGGGTCAACACGCCCCCCTGCGTACACGTTTAAAATATTTTTCTTCCATATTGCATCCTAAAACATCATTTTAATTTTTATGGAGTGGTTCTTGTCCATTTTATTGTTTTACCTGAATTTGTTGGCTGATTTGTTTCCCTGTTTTAAAACTTCAATGTATTGGCAATGTCGCAATATGTTGATACATCGCATTTTGAGTGTGCTGTGATGTGCTGTAGAAGTATAAAAATAAATTTAATCAAAAACGAAGCTAAATGTAAAAAAAAAACGTTTTATTTCTGACTTTTTAATTTGTAACAAATATTAAAATAAATTAGAACTAGTTGGGCGTCATATTTTTTCTTAAAAATAACAGCTGAAATACTGGAATAAATAATTTTAATTTAAATACATTGGGATATCACCATTATTTTAATAAATTAGTTTTAAGAAAATTGGAATAATGTTTTTGGATATGGTGAAAAATCAGATATATCTATATATATTACCTAGGTAATATGGTACATAGGTAATAGGTAATTCACTACAATTAGTTAATAAATATAAGTTTTCTTATTTTCATGCAAGGAATCTCATCCTGATTGTTCCGTAATATTAATAAACACGTGTTTATAAATCTGATTGATAAATAATCAAATGTGTCTTTTATATAAAATCTAAAAATACCTACCTTTTTCTTAAACTGACAATTTTTTTATACAAAAATATAATCATATACAGAATACTTCAATATTGAATAAATAATGGTTAAATTGTAAAAATACCTTTCTACTGAAATGTTCTGCATAAATTTAAAAAAAAGAGGTAGAGTAAAAATAATATAAAAAACTATTTTATAAATTCACATAGATTTATATTTGTAATAAGAAAGTCATTAGAGGGGCTAGAAGAATAGACTGTTGAATTATTACTAGCATATTATTAAAAGCGAGCGTTTTGTGAATTACTTGTCAAATTATTAAATTGTATGTTCTCTCAAAACGCTCGATATATATCCATCTTATAAACTAACATATAAACATCAAGTAAAATCTGTAGACTATTTTAATTTAGCTTTATTATCTCATTTTGTTTTATACAATGGTTTTTAACATTATATTTATAATACCCGTAATTTTTCAGTGATTTAATGGGAGTTTTAATAAAATTTCTTTATTATATTATTATGTAAAACAACATTTTATTTATTAACATCATTTACAAACCACTATTTATATCGGGAATGGTAAATATTACAAAAGTCTCGTTTGTAGTTTAGTTTATAATAACTTGTACCTAATGTGCGTTATAAGTTACGTTTTGAAAGTCCCAATGGGCTGTTTTACAAAACAAGTTAAACAAAATCGACCTAAAAATGTCTTAAAAAGAGCAATTTTAAGTCGATTAAACTTTCACAATAAGACAATACCTTCTGGAAAACAAATACAAGCCAACCAAAAAATTACCAACCCCAAATTTGTTTTTATCTTTTTTAAATATAGCTGTGTATAACCAGGGAAGTTTATCTGGATACCAGACATTTAAATTAAAAGCTAGGTATAAAAAGTATAAATTTTTAAATTCAATAAAAGCTGATAAGGCTAGTAATTTTTTGACTGAACATCAATATATTAAATTATTAGAATATGCTTAAAACAGCTTAAAAAATCTAAAACATTGTTTTCGGGATATTTAAATTATTTAAAAAACTGCCTGTCAATTTCAGTGTATAAATAAACAATTAATTTTAATAATTTTATTAAGATTCCATTTATTTTATTTTTTAGCTAAGCCACACAGCTTCAAATCTTTACAATAGTTTTTGAGTATTGTTAGGTATATAAGAAAGAAAAATTAGTTTGCATTATTGTTTATTTCATATTATAAATTAAAACTTTTAAAAGGGCAATACATTCTTGGCCATGAACATGGAGATGATAGATTGTCAAAGGTACATGTTTCAATAAACAACACGAATATTTAATATTGCAATAAATTTCTTAATACTTTTTTTATAAAGATAAAATATTGTACACATATACACAGATCAATTTTTTTTACATAATTATCCAGCATAAAATTAACTACGTTTTTGTAAAAGTTTTACTAAAAAAAGCCTTTTTTTAAATGGTTAAATCTGTATATTATTAGGCAAAGTTGTGCAATAATATTGTTTTTATTTAAATGGTTTTGAAATTATTGTTTTAAACGCTGATTATTGCTTCTAAACATAATCGCTATACATTGAGGCTACGAAGAATTTAAAACTTGTGAGATTCATTAAATATATTAGAATAAAAATTATTATATACAATATAAGTAAAATATTACACTGTTTTTTTAAATATGTAAAAGATGGGTAATTTAATGAATTTCACAGTTATAGAAAATGTTTTCTAGCTAGGATAGTTAGTTGAATGGTACATAAGTAAGGTCTTTATCTTTTGCAATCTTAAAATATGGGTGTAGGTATAATTTTGATATAATTTTGTTTGTATTAAATTTAATTGTATTATGTAAAATTTAAAATTGTAAAAGATAAAGGTAATGTCGATACAGCGGAGCACAATAGTTTACAGTAGATAACATTTAAGTGTAGATGAAACCTGGTCATGCCAGATTTCTGTGCCCATTTCTGTAAATTCCTTAGCTGTTAGCATCTTGTCCAATAAAACTAGATGTCCAATGATTGGTCTTACCACGAACAAATAGAACTAAATCTAACACACAGCCTCTATAGTTATGTATAAATATTCTGTATTACTTTGTTTTATACTTAATGTCAGTCCGTCGCGTACGGTTTAGAACACGGTTTGAGCGTTAATACATACAAATATAAAAACATCTAGAAATTGTCTTTAAATTGTTCGATTAGGAATCGGGGTCAGGTAGGTTATGCGATGATAGGGGGTGTATGGTCTGCAACATTATCAATATAAATTGATAAAATTTCAATTCAGGTACCTTTTCCAACCAAATAGGTTTTGATACACAAGAAAAATCCAAGCACCATATGGATTTAGACAGTCGAAATCACTCGAATTTCATTTAATTTTAATCTTGACTAGGTTATACTTATACATTATATATAGGGATAGTCTTTTGTACTATTAAAGTTAATACAATTATTATTATTACGTTAAATAATAAATAAATAAATAATTCGGCATAAATCAAAATGCTTGCACATTTTTATATATTTACATTATGTTACATTTCGTATCCATTAAATGGACGTAGCAACCCCATCGACCCATTTCTAACATGAATTCGGACCAGTATAAAATTTTCACAACCACTCTTTAGGTTTTCAAGTTTTACTTAAAATCCTAATCAAAAGGCGTTTTGTTATTTTTTTTATTAAAAGGTACAGTAAAAACCAGTAAAGACAAAGATACCCGACAAATATACGCTGATATGTTAGAGTTAAACCAAACATCAGCCATAATAAATTCAATTTTACTACAATAAGTTTAATCAATGTTAGAGTATTACATTTTTACGAAAGCCCATGGGCTTTGCAAAGGCTATACTACCACAAACATTAATAAAATTCAGTGGCGGCTCGTCAGGGGAGGTAAGGGAGGCTTAGCCTCCTCAGAAATTTTACGTTAATCATTTTATTCAATTATGTACATATTATATTTTAACTAAATAGCTATTTAGTGATTAATTAGTAAAATTATAGTTAAATTTCCAATCATAATTATTAATAAAATAATATATTACCGAAATAAATGAAAAAACTGAACCGCGCGCTTTATCTTCGGACTTTATATAGTGAACTACGTCCAGAGAAGGCTACGCATCCGAATATTCCGTTATTCAAAATTCATTTATGAACTTCATAATATGAAGTTCTCACGAATGGACTCGTCGTCGGCTGCGTATAAGCAATTATATACGGTGGAGGCCAACCGCAGACCACAGACTGTGCCGCAGTGTGTCATCTTACAATTTTTATTAGGCAGCCAGGAGAGTTACATTTCGGTGATACACCAACAAAATTTAAATTAAAGGAGAAAGCTTTTGTGATATCATAATAACCGCCCTCGGTGGTGTAGTAGTCAACGCTGCGGACTACAAGCCAAGAGGTCGTGGGTTCGAATATACCCCTGGTGGCTGTTTATTGTGTTTGTCTGTGTATTCCTGTAATTGGGCTCGTGCCTGTTGGAAGCACATTTAAACTTAAAATAAAAAATAAAAATAAAGTATAATATCATTAAATATTGTTTTCAATGAAATCCAATCGGCCATATCCACCAATTATACTTATTTTAAACTCGCAGTATAAATAATAATAGATAGCGCGTAAAAATCGTATATAAGGCAATTCACTGATAAAACTGACGTAGTGTATTTGTGAGTATTCCTGTTTTGATTTATTTGTCATCGTTATGGCTTTGAAATGAACAGCTTTTAGCGGCATCTGTACCAGGATCATTAGGAAATTAGCAGTCTCTATTATAAGTGTGTGTCGTTTTGTTAATTTACATTTTGTGTTGTTTTGTTTAAAAAAAAATTGGAAAATTATTTCTTAGTAAGTTGTATTAATTGTATTCCACAAACATTGAAGTTTTTTAATGCACTTTATTAGCCTTCTTACTTCGACTGACCACGAGCCGCCACTTATAAAATTTAATAAATTGGGTTTATTCATTTCTCCCCTTATAAGAAAAAATTAAAACCAATAAAAGCTTATAACGGTTTAAATAAATGTTCTTTTATCATATACAGGGTGTTCCAGAAGTCGCGCACCACCTTGAAGGTGTATGACCCCACGGAATCCCAGAAAATTGTTTAAAAAGAATCTATTTTGGTTATTTAAAAAGATACAGGGGAATACAGTTTTTTTAATGGCAACATTGTCTGCTTATAAAGTGGTACTTTAATTTTTGTTGGACTTGACAGAACAGAACAGTTTACAATACTCAGTACTCAGTAGGAATACGTACCAATTCTGTTAAAATGCTATGACAGAATCTAATTTTGAATTTTAACTGTCAATTATTCTCTATGGGGTGATGTAAACAGATAACAATCAATTAACTAATCAATTATTGTGATAATGAATTGTTGCACACAGTTGCATTGTGCATTTTGTTATATATACAACATTAATTCTTAATGAAACCATTTTTGGACATTTTGTACATTAGGCCTAATCTATATAAAACTTAATGTTTATGCTCTTGTATCTTTTAAAATAATAAAGGTAGAATTTTTTAGGATTCCTAGGGGTCTGTAGATCATCCACCTTTAAAATGGTGCGCGACATTCTTTAAAAATTGTTATATTAAAATTCAATAAATAATTATAACTTTTCTTGTGCATCAAAACAAATTATGTATGGAAAATGTGTGTAAAAGACCGGTTAGTGGTCAAAATTTGGCAAATCCATTTTCACTCCCGCATCGCGACGATGCTAGTTGTAAAAACCCCGATTCATCGCAGCGCGGTTCCGGTTATGCCATTTGCACTGCAAAATCCTCAGGTATGTTCGTCGGAAACTAGCGTTACACAACGCGTAACACACCGGGTTTATTGTTGAGTTTATGTAGCACAAATAGTAAAAGAAGTCCCATAGCTGGGGCGGGATCCGGGCGCTGGACGACGTCACAGGCTTCAGAAGCACCAAAATATTGTACGGAGTCCACGTTATGATGAACGTGAGCAAAATAGCTGACAGCGTTTTTGCCGCCTTCTTGTCCGCTTTTTTCTCTTGCGTCTTTTTCTTTTTCTTACCCTGGTTCTTCGTTGCGTTCGCAAGCAGCGTTTTGCCAGCCAGCTGCTTGGGAATGATTTTTGCGTTCAGCGGAATTCGGATGTCCGGCATGGCGGATGGTCGCCTGTTCAGGTGGTTCGCATGCGACGGACCCAGCGAAAAGTCGGTGGCCTCACCGTGCGACCGAGAAGTTCTCGGGGTATCTTCCGCTATCATTTTTATCGAAGGTCCCTCGTTACCGGCGCCCTCGCCAGACTCCCCTGGAAGTCTGATGACGATTGTGTACACACTATCGTTGGAAACAGAACGACCTGCCAGCCGATTGCCTGTCGGTAAGCTCCTCGAATCCCTGGGTGCTAGACGAGTCGGGGTCATATTAGATTGTGTCAGCGTAAGATCACGTTGAGTTGAAATTGTCGTATATGGATCCCTAAAATTAAAGTCAGAAAGTCAAGAAAATGAAGGAATTTAATAAGACTTTCATAATCCTCGCAATCATCGAACCGTATGTAATTAAACTTTGATTTCCTCAAGGATCTACCCACCCGCTTTGCACAATCGTGCAAAAATAAAAAAGTGCAACCCACCATAATGCAATCATGTACCTAATCAGATGAAGTATATATTAAATTAAGAGAGGTAATCACTTTAAAGAAGAGGTTACCTGATTACGTTGAGTGAAGTGCATCTTGATACCGAGCTTTGCAGAGGCGTGTCAAGGGACACTGGGGTGATGCACCCTTGTCCCTGTTCGCTGGGACTTTCCTCCTCTGTGTCGCTATCTTCTCGTCCCGAGTGCCACCATGCCACACACCAGCTCCTTATCCGATATACTCCCCCCAACCATCCTCCTCGTATCTGTAAAAACAACGACAAACATGTTTGAAAGGCAAATTTGTCACTTCAAATCCACTGTAAATTTACGTTATTAAAAATTAAAAAGGTTTAAAATTCCAATTTGCTTTTATTTAACTAAAATTTAAAAGTTTCCGTATAGTTTTAAAGTTTTTTTATTGAAAAGTGCCTAAAAATTTAAAACTAAATGCAATATAAGGAATGATGTACGCCAACTAACAGCTTTTTTTTTATAAAAATCAAAATCCAAATTAAAATAAAAAAACTAACATATTTGAATGGTTATATTGCACATTAAACAATTCTTTATTTTGGCTACTAGAAATATTTGGTCTAAGGATTATCCATGCAGAGGTAAATATTCGACTCACAAAATTTCAAAGAGAAAAACAAGTTTTTCCATGTTATTTCCATATGAAATTTCGATCACATATCTTATAGCTGATAAAAGAGCTTACATTTTCAGGATTTTTTTTATTTGAAAGCATTTAAGCCCTTGAGAGTATAATAATTCGAAATTACCCCAAATAAGGAAAATTATCCTCGCGGATTTTTTTTGTAATTGTTTACATTAAAATAATGACTTACTGAACATTTGAGCTCTTTATAATAAGTACCTATTTTTCTAGAAATGATCGCATGCACTTATAATAAGAAATTAATATTTTTATAAAAATCTAAAAAAAAAATTGCAAAAAAACAGTACAGTTTGTATTTTTATGTCATATCTGTTTAACCAATAACCCGGCACATTCGCCATTTTTTTAACTTTTAAATTTGTTCCCATCATTTTGGGAAAAATAAATTAAAAAACTTCAATAATAATAATATCAGTAATATAAGCTTTAATATTTTAAAAACATTAAATATTGCCAGAGCAAAATTAAAAAATGTACTTTTATTCACAAATAACATTAATTTTGTAGTTTGTATATAATTTTTTTTAAACAATTAAAAAATTTCAATTTTATCAGCAAGTGTCATTTAATAAATATTATAAATTGATAATATTAGTGCATCAGAAAATCGACATCGATTCAGGTAAAATTCCATTATTTTTGCTTATAAAACGTCACCCGTAACGTTATCTTACTTCAGAAAGTAATTTAATTACTAAACAGCTCGATAAAAAAAGGAAATTATGTTCTGATGAAACACTGAGCTGCCTACTTTCCTTCCTGCTCTCTTATTAAAAGAAATCCAATCGGACATTGAATAAAGTCGTTTTCCAATTCTGTATAATCGAAGTTTTTATTTTCATCAAATTTCCAGTTTTTAAAGCAAAAAATTAATACCTTTATGAGAATAAAAAAGTCAAGATAATATAAATATATATATATAAAAATATTATATATATATATATAAATATGTATATATTACATATTATACTGTGCAACACAAACAATTAAATACGTGTTTCGGGTTTTTTTGTATTAAGTTTCCGTGATAATATTTTTTTAAATTTAAATTTTAAAAAACAGTAAAAATGGATTTTTATACGCCTTAATTTACAAAATCCGATAATTTTTTGGGTTCTTAACATAAAATACTATTCTAAAATTAATTTATTTATAATGTGATGTTTTTTAGTAGTTTAACATTTAAACGACTTTAAAAATTAAAAAACTTTTGGCAAATAAAAATCAATTTCCAAGGTAAATTTTTTTAAATTACAACTTTTTATATTTAAATTCTGAATGGTGTGAAAATTTTATAGTCGTTCCATTTAAAATAAAAAAATTATTGGCATTTAAAGTGAAAAATAAGTTAATGGAAATATCAAACACCCTGTCCAACATTTTTAAATAGTACCATGACGATGTGATTGACTTTGAATGTAAACGTCAGAATTAAATTAAACGTCAGATTTATATAATTTTGACACAAGTTTTTTCGAAAGTATCCAAATTCTGTACTTTTAACCAAAAGGAAGTATTTACACTGTTTAAAATATCTGTGGTGTAAAGAGTAATCCTAAAATGGTGTCAAAATCCAACACCAAGTGGTGTTAATATAACACCATGAATTATGGTTGAAAATGAACACCAAAACGGTATTTATCTAAAAATATTTGAGAAGTGCACCTACACAGAAAAAAAGGAATAGTTCATTTAACTATATTAATTTAGTTGACCCATAAGTATTTATTTTTTTGTGGAATAGGTGATGTTCTTAAATCTCGCCTCTGTTGACTTACATGAAGAATATATAAGCTCAGGTTGTCCTTTGCTTTGGTGTGACACTACAAGTTGTTCGATACTAGACCTTAAATAGATGGAAACAGCTGTCAATACTTGAAGTATTTTAAGTTAGTGTCCACTCCAGAGCGAACTAAAAACATTATCTCTAGCGAGTTAAAGGTTCCATTTTCTGGAATAATACCACTAGTAATATACTAGTAATGCGTCAAGGAACTTCCTGTTTCCTTTCATTTTCCTTTTTTCTGTGTAGTATGATTTAATTTAACACTGAAAAGGAGTTTAATTTACACCAGGTAAAATGTATTTTAATACTGTGTGAAAGTTAAATTTACACCATTTTAGTATTTGAATTTAAACCATTTTAGTATTTGAATTTACACCGGATCAACGAACCCTAATTAACACCATTTTGGTTTGTATCGATATATGGTGTTAATTTGGTGTTAAAATGGTCATGAAATTTTGAACAGTGTATAGAGTTTAGATTAAATAACTTGTAGTAGGTTAGCTTACTAACTTAATTGGAACTTTAGGAATGTAAACGTTAAGTTTTTAATTAAATGTTTCCTACTTTTTTAATTTTTTAAAAATTCATTCATAACAATAGTTTACAGCCATTTTGCCAACCATGTCTTTTCCTAGGTAGTTTGGCTCACTAAACGCAAAAATCACACTTAATTTTTTTTTCATGGAAGCGTCTTCGAGATATGAATTTTCAATTGTTTTTTTTTTAATTTTCTGAGGTGTTTTGACGTTTTAGAGTATACTTCTAATCCATTTGACCAAACAAGCACCTAAATTAAAGGTAATTAAGCCCTCTACACCTTCCTCTTGTATACTTTTGGTATCGGCCCAGTAGTTCGATGCTATTTTATTGGGTTGAAAACGTCCTTTGTTTTACAAAAATCGAGGTCGAAAATTATCATATCTTTTTGGGAAAGATAGAAATCGAAAATATAAGCCCAGTTTGATTTATTTTACCCATAGATTATACTTAAAGGAAAAAAATAAGCTGCTGTTGATAAAAATCCATGGATAAATGGCAAAGTTATGAATTTTTCAGTGGAAGATCTAAGCTTTTCGAGAATGTTTACCTTGTAATAATAAATTAGTCAAAAATGACTAATTTAATAGTTATTACTGGCTGCTTTTTCACTTGTACCATGGTTAAACATGGAATACCATGGTATCTCAAAATTTAACAGCCAATTCTTATGTAAAATTGTCCCCTGAATCCGAAAATGTCGTCAAAAGTTAAAAAAGTAGAACAATTTTTGAGATATAGCCAATTTTCCATTTAATATTGAATTGACTATATCTCAAAATCTGCTTCACTTTTATAATTTTTGACGGTATTTTCGGATTCAGGGGACAATTTCACATAAGAATTGGCTGTTAAATTTTGGGATACCGTGGTATTCCATGGTTAAACAAGTACAAGTGAAAAAGCAGCCGCTAATAACTATTAAATTAGTCATTTTTGACTAATTCATTTTTAGAGAGTACGTTTTTTTTTCATTTAATTGAATTATATAAAATTTAATATTGAACATTGATTTTTATATTAAACATTGAAGATATAAGTTTTATTTTGTTGTAATAATATAGGTTTAAAAATATTCTGGCTCATTCTTTTTTGTTGCTTTTGTATTCCGTTTCTCGTATGAGGGACCCATCATGGCTGCATCCCAGAAGCCGTGATACCGCCGCTCCATAGCCTTCATTTGCTGGTGAAAACGTTCTCTGTGCTCATCATTTACGTCGCCCAGATTGTCCGGGTTATTTACGTACTTGTACTCTTTACATCTTTTACTAATTTTACACTTTTTATTAACCAAATAAACAATGATAAAAATACCTTGTTGAAATGTCAAAAAATAACAGAAAAAATTAAAGTTTGAATAATGTTTTCGGTGAAAAAAGTAAAAACTCAAAAAACTCCAATCATGCACATTAATTCTGTTTTGATTAAAGAATAAATATATTACAAAATAAAATAAAAAAAACTAAAAATCGTTAAAAAGCTGAATTTTGGTCTTCCACTAAAAACTTCATAACTTCGCCATTTATCCATGGATTTTTATCAACATTAGCTTGTTTTTTTTGTAAAATGTCAGCTTTACGAAAAACATTTAAACTTGAGTTATCCGTTTGATTTAAACCTTTCCCCAGGACTATATATAACACTGAAAAAAATAAGCGGTTGAAACAACAAAAAAAAATATTAATTCAACTCTTTATGCACTTTAAATACAAGCAATGGTTTTTGCACGTTTAACCATCTAAAAATGTCAAATTGTATTGTTTAATTGAACAACAAATAACAGTCAAACGAACAAAATGAGAATATTTTTTCTAATCTGCTTATCTGGTTAATTTAACTTTCTTAAGATGTTAAGGTAAATTTCTTGAAATGTCCAGCTAACCTTTTTATCATATTCATTAAACACCAATAAAATGTTAAATTAAAATAATTTAGAATTTGTTCCAAAACGGTTGGGTTAACATTCTGAAAATGTAAAAGTAACATTCAAAATTATGGAATTAAAATAAAAAGGAAGAATTGAACCTTCACCTCGCCAGAGTTTTTGTTTTAAGTGCGTTCCACCTACTTCAAATACCGATAGACAGCTGTTTCGACCTATATTGAGGGTCTTATCAGTGTCAGGCAATTTGGTGTAGTGGAAGTTGGAAGTGGAACACACCGAAAACAAACGGCTACCTGAGCTTATATGCTCCTATCGTAAGCTAACTGAGGCGAGTTGTAAGAACATCACGTGATCAACACCGTCTAATGACGTG